TATATGGAAAAAGTTTATATAAGGTCGCAACCTTAAAATGTAGAATAAAATGTAGAATTATATGTGCACCTCAAAAATCTATCGGAAAAGGTTGGTTTAATATTGAAAAACCCTCTAATTGATCATCTCAACATCGAGATGTAGGAATATGAAAAAAAAAAGAAGAGATTTTGAGTCTAAAAATTAATGCATCTTGCAACACATTATCTAGACCGTTCATTTTGAAGATTTTCATATGTTTATAGATCTACTTGATTTTATCCATTTTTGGAGTTTCAAATTTTATAATTAGAGATGAAGAGAGATTTTAAGATAATCCTACAAATTTTTTACACCAAAATTATTTATGATGATCAAATTTGGAGGTGCACCTTAAATGGATTGTTTAGAGTTGCAACCTTATAGAAACCACACTATATATATACATATATATATATTAGCCCACGGACTGACTGCTACAATGTCAATCAACGGTATAGATTCAATCTAGGCCGATCTGACGGTTACGATCTCATTATGTATTTGATTTTTTCATTTTTTTTATACACATCCAAAATCATTTGAAATTTTAAGCATTCATTATTCTCATCAAGATGCATCTAATAAAAATAATAATATTTGTAAAATATAAATTGACCAAAATACCTTTGAAAATGTTTCAGGGATATTTTACTTAATTTATATTTTACTAATTATTTGTTTTATATTTTTATTAGATTCTCTTATTTTTAAATAATAAACGCTCAAAAAGTGATTTTAATTTGTAGAAAAAAAATGAAAACTCAAATTGTGACCATTAGATCGGGCTCAGATTTAATCTAGGCCGTTGGCTGACACTATAGAAGTAAGCCCGTCGGCTAATAGGATCCTTTCCCTATATATATTGCATATTATAAGGAAAAAGTTTATATATAGCCGAGGCTCTAAACAATCAAATAAGAGCCTACCTCAAAAAATTTATTAAAAGAGGTTGTTTTGATGCCCAAATATCATCAAATTGATCATCTCGGCATCAAGATGCATGGACATGAGAAAAAAATGGATTTCAAATTTTGTAAATAGTATATTTTGTAATGTATTTTTGAACTATCAATATTTAAGATTTTCAAGTTTTCATAGATCAGTCGATCTACACTATTTTTTAAGCTTTAAAGTTTATAAATAAATATGAAAATATATTCTAAGTCTATCACAAAGATTTCCAGTATTGAAACCATATTTTTCGATACTATTTGAAGGTAGGGTCTAATTTGATTGTTTAGAGCTTAGGCTCTATACAAACTGCACCCTTGATATAATGCAATAATCTTTAAAAAACCATGTTAGGGCCATTTGTTTGATACAAAATTTAAAATATGCACTATTTTTATTCTAATGAACAATCACAACAAAGAAAAATTTGAAAATGCAACCTAAAAGGTATTTTTTTAGCCCAATTAACAGAAGCCGTCCATTTTGATAAGATGCTTAGATCTAGGTCTTAGAATGATTTTTTTATTTCCAATTCCTTTATAAGCCTTTATTATCATCAGATGAACAATGTTAAAAAAATAAAAAAATGATTTTATGTTCGTAACGTCTAAGATATTGAAATTCACCAAATGAATGATCTAGATTCATTGTTGGAGGGGACTCATTTTGACCGTCTCTAGAGTTCGAATCAAACTTTTTTTTTTGGGATCCATTATTGAGATGAAGAAAGTGTGTGTGTAAAATTTTGGGTCATACAAATACTGCAAACATGGCTTTTTAGAAGTGTGGTTGCATTATATTATGATGCAACCGTTGCATTGTTATACACTTTTTTAAGATTATATATTAATGGGAAATGATTTCATGCAATTGTTGTATAATAATATGATTCACCAACCTTAAAAAACCCTCTTATGGCCATATTTTTAATCCAAAATTTGAAATATGCATTCTTTTTATTCTAATGAACAATCACAAAAAAAAGAAAAAAATTGAAAATACAACCTAGAAATTATTTTTTTAGCCCGATTAACATAGACCGTTCATTTTAGTGAGATGCTTAGATCTAGGCATTAGAAAGATTTTTTGGATGGCTTTATTATAACTAAATGAACAATATTAAAAAAGAAAAAAAAAATGATTTTGAGTTTATAAAGGCTAAGATCTTGAAATTCACAAAATGAATGGTCTAGATTCGTTTTTGGAGGGGACTCATTTTGACCTTATCCAGTGTTCAAATTGAACTTTTTTTTTTTGAGGGGATTGATTATTGAGATGAAGAGAGTGTGTGTGCAAAATTTGGGGCCATACAAATACCACAAACATGGTTTTCTAGAAGTGTCGTTGCATTATACTATGATACAACCGTTGCATTGGATCACTGCTCGATATTAATATATATAATTTTCAATATGTATTTTCTTTTTTTTTTCTTTTCTTTTTGGGTAAATAAAAATGTTAGCAAGAATGGAGGCCATGACCAAAAAATTGTTTCGGAATGGAACTCAGAACCTCACATCTAAAGACCAAGAGCGCCAAGTTGATGAATAATTGTCCAAATTTTTCTTTTCAGCTATTTACATGCTGGGGAAAAGTTTATATGGAGCCAATGCTCTAAACAATCAAATTATAGCCCACCTAAAAAAATTCACTAGAAGAGTTTGTTTTAATGTTCAAATATTCTCAAATTGATTAACTCGACTTCAAGATGCATGGACATGAAGAAAAAAAAATGATTTCAAGTTTTGGAAGTAATGCATCTTGTAACATAGTTTGAGCCTTCAATTTCAAGATTTTCAAGTTTCATAGATCTGCTCGATCTGCACTATTTTTTAGGCTTTAAATTTTATAATTAAAGATGAAAATATATTTTAAAACTATCACGAAAATTTCCAATATTAAAACCACATTTCTCGATACTATTTGAAGGTAGGCTTTAATTTGATCCTTTAGAGCCTCAGCTCTATACAAATGGCACCCTTACATGTTTGTGGTAATTTTAGTATTTTTAGTACGTTTTTGGTACACGTTGTTAGGTAATTTATTTAATTTTTAGCTAATGTTTTATTTTTCTATATATAATCCATTGGGTCCAAGTCCTCCAAATAAATTCAGGGTCCGGGTCCGATCATCCAAATAAATTCAGGGTCACGGTCCGAGTCCCATGTATGGATTACAGGTGGAGTCTCGGTCTAAGCAGATCCATACCCCACCCGATCTGTTCCCTCCCCTACTGATGCGTGTTTTTGGAGTTCTAAAATAGGAGGATTATGGGTGTCAAGGGGTCTGAATTTTCTTGGAGGATACAATTTTTTTTTTTTTCTGATACAAGGTAAGGCAAATCTAGTGTTTCAAAATTGAGTGATACGGATCGGAACTTGCCTATCCAGACTTTTTAGAGTCAGCCACGATCAAACTGGTTATAAGAAGATATCGATACCAGCCCGATTCCCTTTTGACATGGGATTTATCATGAATTTTATGCAGATTTTCGTTCTTAAGCTACCAATTCCTCATGTTTTGTTCCTTGTTTTTCTATTCATGCCTTCATTTCTGAAATCTCCTCATTTTTTTTCTTAATACACTACCTTTAATTCTATTGTTTTTGTGCATTGTACAACTAGCAATGCATCAAAATTACAGGATCATCATGAAAGTGGCATACAAGCACGTAGGCCCGGAAGAGAGAGCAAAATTATCGGATCATAGTGGAAATGGCATACAGAAGAGAGAGGTACAAACCCAGTCGTATGGCAAATTTGCTAAACAACCAAGAAATTTTAATGGATAAGAGACACCATGTTTAAAAACCTAAGAAGAAAGACGCTCGTTAAGAAATCAATCAACTAAAAGTGACAACAGAGAATGAAGGAGGAACCAGGAGGCATGTTTTTTTCTTGTACTGAGTAAAGAGAGATAGGGTGAAGAAGCAGGGGATAGAGAAAATACAGGACACAGTTTAGAAAGAAAGAGACGATCCAGTTGAGAGAGAAGGGAGAAGTAAGGAGCGAGAATGACCTGACTTTTTTCCTCACCCATAACTCAAACTTGGAAACCCATGATGCATATCACAGCAAATAAGGTGGCCTCCATTAATCTCACCATTCATTCCACAATAGACCAAAAAGCCCATATCATGCAATTCTTTGTTTCTAGGTTCACCATGAGTGAGAGAATACATCAAAGATGCAACAGAAATTGATGAAGACCAATGTAAGCAAAGAGCAGAGTGTACATCAGGAGGAAACTTCCCACAAGAATGACACAAAGGATACCTGATAAATGGATCGAGGCCATCAGAAGATCACAATTGAGCAGATATTTAGTACAAAAGAATGAAACGGCCAATATAAAGCAATTGATGAACCCTTTGAGCAATTGACTCTCTCTCTCTCTCTCTCTCTCCAGAGAGAGAAAGTGTGCGTTTGTAGTGTCTCTGTGTCTTTACTTTTTTGGTGTATCAGGTGCTCAAAGAATGTGGTAGATTCCTTTTTCTGGAACTTCTTGTACCAAACCTTAGTCATAATGAGCATGAAAGGGTTGTCGAGCCATTATCCCGCAATAAGGAAATAAGATGATGAGTTATGATCTGATAAAGGGCGCATATCAATAGAAGAAGATCATTTCTAGCACAGATTTGCTTTGACCAAAAATTCCTCAATTTCTCAATCACATTACCTCACCCAAACAAGGAAGCAACAAAAAGCATCAAGAAAAGTAATGGCGCACATTCTCCTGCACATGTGCAAATTCATCATATTTTATTATATCCAAAAGAAGGGAAGTATGTACAACATTCTTCTTATACTGTATCATGCCATAGTATGAGAGAGAGAGAGAGAGAGAGAGAGAGCCCTATAAGAGCTCCAGAATACTATAAAAATAGAGTACGTTTTACAAAAAATATAAAGAAACAGTTCGATTGTCATAAACGGATCTGTGCTGCTCAAGATTCAATATTAATTTTTTTTTTTTTTTTGTCCAATGTTTGTTCATAGGAGGTGTTTGGGAATCAAAAGAATGAAAGAAATGAGGCAAAAAATTTCTAATTTGAAATCAATGAATAAAAAGGCAGCTGATATTGAAGTTGTTTGTGAATCCATCTATTAAACAAAAACTTAAAAAGCCTAGTTTAGCAATCCCAACGAAATACCTTATTGGGGCTGCAAAACTGTCATTGGATATACCATGAATTGAAGAAGTCAGTAAGTTTTTCTTGAATGGAATCATTGGTATCTTATGGTTTGTATAATAAAATTATTACACATATATCTGTAGAATATAGTATGTGTGCGTGTAAAGTTTTCTAGAAAAGGAAGAAATTAGCAGTCCAATAAATAAAGCTAATTCAACTACTAAAGGGCTGGAGTTATTATTGGGAAGGAAGAAATTTACCTTTGCCAGACTTAGACCCTGCAAAACATGAGGCCTGCACCCCCTCAAGCTTAAGTATCTCAAAGATTTCAGTGCACTGAGATCAGGTATCTCAGTCAGGCTCTTACACTTTGTGAGATACAATTCTTCAAGTTGATAAAGGTCAGAGAGGTTGGCAATAGTTTGCAACGATATGCAGTTGGAAGCATGCAAAGTTTTCAAACTAGTGGGGAGATCCTGGATAGTTACCAAGTCCCGGCAGTTTCTAAAATCCAAGTGTTTTAGTTTAGTGGCATGAGATTGCTTGGCAATGGTTCGCCAACTTGTGCATCCGTCAGCATTCAGACTATTCAAACTGGGGGGTAGCTCAGGGATAGCTAACAGCTGCTCACAATTATGTATAGTCATCAATTCTAGCTGAGAAAGACCCCTCATGCTACAGGGAAGGCCATGGAAATTGTTCCCATGGAGACACAAAAATTTCAATGAGGATAATTTTTCAAAATCATCAGGAATCATCATCTGCCAGTTACAACCGCTTGCATCCAATTCCTCCAAGGAGCAACAACCTGAGAAAGTAGATGGAAGCCTCTTCAAATTGATGTTGAATTGTACATTAAGAGTCCTTAAACTTGTAACACCTCCAAAGTTTTCTGGAAGCGCATTCAAATGTCTACACTCTTGCATATTCAACATTTCCAAGTTATAGAGAAGTCCAAAATCATCAGGCAGCATGGCTATTGCAGTTCTCCTCATGTTTAGATGACACAGTGACTTCATCGTTCCCATTGATGTTGGGAATCTGTTGAGCACCTCACAGTCATCCACATTCAACATCACAAGGTTCTCTAATAAGCCTAGAGAATCAGGAAGTCGTCTTACCATAGTACTACTCGAGCAAAGAATTTTCAAGCTGGTTAAATTTCCCATTGAAATAGGTAGTTGCACTATGCCACTAGAATTGATAAGAAGTTCTGTTAAAGATTTCAAGGAACCCAACTGCTCCGGCAGCATCTTAAGTGCTGCACAAGAATTTAGATTAAGCTTTTGAAGAGAATGCAATTTTGAAATACTGCTTGGCAGTTCCTTGAGGTTGGAGCAACCTTTTAAGAGTGAGATGAACTAAATTCCCTAAAAAGCCAATGGAGTCGGGAATCTCAACCAACCAGCAGCATCCCTCGAGATACAACCTCTCCAAGTTCGGGTATAGATAACAGTCCAAAACTCTCTTCAAGTTACACATGCTGAGATCAATAACCTTCAACTTCAGGTTGAGCTGTCCAAAAAAAGGTCGGAAACGAAGAAAAGGAGCCATGATATGTTTCAAATATGCAGGAAAGTACATATATATGAGAGAACAGGATATGAAATGCGAGGATGGTAAATATAAGTTAAGTGCCACACCTGCTCACTGTTACAGTCTGACAAGTCAATGACATCAGGCATTTCAAAGGGATAACCTTTTTCAATGTACCTGGCAGCATGCTTTTGGTAGGGATAACCTTTGATGTATCTTGAAGTATATTTCCTGCATTTTAGCCATACTAAATCAAGATATTTGAAGATTCTATTAAAAGATGCAATATGGATAACCTTCTTGGATGTACCTGGCACGAAGCGTTCCATAGGGATAACCTTGCGTGTACCTTAAAGTACCTTGTGTGCAGTTTAGATACACTAATTCTGATGGAAGATAGTTGAAGATTATATTAAGAGATGGAATATTGATGTAGAGTAGTCTCAGATTTGTCAATTGCTTAAATGCTTTACTTTCCCAACCCAGCCTCCGTACATCCCATCTGAGGATGAGGCCTCGAATCTTACTAGTCCCCTAATCAACAGGAAAATAAACATCAGCCAAGGAACAAGGTGTTAAAAATGGTACCATCTTTGATGAAACAAAATTAGATCCTTGCCAATCATGTAATTTGTTATTAGTTTTCTCCAACAAGAGAAAAATAAGCCTACTCAGGAATTCTCACCTTGTGGTTCGTCAACACATCAAAGACCTCTTCTCGATCCCATAACCTACTGCAGCTTCCAGGATCATCCACGTTTTCTAGTTGCACAATCCGTCTCCCCATATCACGAAGCTGGTCATGCATCCATAATTTATTATGTGTAAAAATCTTTACGAGTGACCTTTGTACGAGCTTATTTAAGGAGATAAAGCAGGGAAACCACAAATTTTCCATATATCAATTGTAGTTTCTTTGTCTTCGCCAATAAAGAAGCATGCAATGTCAAGAAATATACGTTTTTCTTCTTCACTCAAATCTTCGTCTGGAAAGCTCTTTTGACAACAAAATCTCTACGACGGCTCTAGAATCAATTTCCAACAATGAATAATAAAATTTGAAACTAACAAAAACGGTCTAGATAATTTGCTACAATATATACTATTTTTAGAGTTTGAAATCTTAATTTGTTTTCGCACCCATAGTGTTCGTTCAAGCTGGGATGATTGATACAAAGGTCATCCCATGCTTGAGTTACAATTTTCGATGATTGAATTATGAGGTCGGGCTAAACTATTTTCCTTTGTTTAAAATTGTATCAAAGAGCACCATGTTCCCATGAGCTTTTCAACGGTGCTAATAATAGCCGGTCCCCATTGAGGTTTTTTTTTTTTTTCTTTTTTTTCCCTTTTCTCCTTATGTAATAAAAGTTGACTGTAAATACAGTCAAATCAGAGTGCAAAAAAATATATCATTTTATTACTGTTACACAAAATTTTCGGGAGTGACTAAAAAATCTCGCCTATCTATGCAAAATTAGCAAAAGAAAGCGAAGTACAGCTCAAATGGTAGCAAAATGAACTATATCATTAACCCTTTCTCCATGAAACTACGTTATTAACCCGTGACAACAAGAGCCGTGAGCGTGGCAGTGTGAATGGGTTGGGTTAGGTCCATGTCGATCAAGACCAAGACCCAACTAAGACCTGCGTCGAGTCCAAGTTGTTGGACTTGGACACGACCCATCGAACCTAATTTGAATCAACATTAATAGTATATATATTGAACAATATATAAAAATATATAAATATGTCTAT